AGGGGAAAGGAAAGAAGGGAATGGAATTAATATGAGAAAATGAAAAAATGGAAACAGTCTTTGCAAATAGGGAGGGATGGAGGGGTTGAAGGGAGGGCAGGGGAAGGATGAAAAGTAAGAACCAAGAGAGACTATGTAAAGGTGCAAATTTCCAGTGATGAATGTCATTATATTGTATACCTAAAATGTACCAATAGAAGGATATACAGTTAAGAACACTAGTTATCTTGGAATAGTAGGGCCCCTGATGACCTTACATTAAATAAGTTATGTTTTAAAGCCTTATCATTACTCATATTTTGAGGTACTGGAGGTTATTTTATATATATCTCTCTCTATATAAAAGATAGCTTGTGGTACTATTAAAGCAGTAAAAAACAAAACAAACCCCCAAACTTCACAATCAGTGGATGTCAGTAGTATAAACTTGGAAGAATTTTTCACTTTAAGTCATTTCATCTATAATGGAATTATTTTAACCTAAAGCAAATTAACCCCAAGAGAGGCAGATGGATGTGATGCCTGGCTGTGTACCAATGCTCAGACAACTCCAACCCATCTACCACACCTGGCCTCATTTTGTTTCTGATTTCTCATTCTTTTTCTATTTTACAGGTTTGGGGGTTCTAAAGCCAACTACATCTAAAGAAATCTGTCCTTGTATGGTACAAAGTGGTTACCAGGAAACTGTGTGTGCTAACCTAGAAGGGCAGATAAGGGAACACGCTATGGCCATGGCAATACCCCAATCCTTCTTCCCCGAGCCCCTGACAAAGCTGCTCAATATGAAACTTAGCACCTTGAACTGATCCTTAGATGTGAATATTGTTCAATTAACTTTTTGGCACTCATTGGCTACACACATATACATATTGTAAATACCAACCGGAATTTTCAACATAAGCTCAAACATTCCTGTCTAAGCAAAGGATGCCAAAGGGCTCACATCTGGCACTCACTGTACTGTTCCTTTTTTTGTTTTAGAATACGAATGCCAAAGGAAAAGGGAAAGTACAAAAGGCAGTATGTAAGAAAGGGTTTAGGTATACAATAGTTGGTATGGAATAAAGAAATGAACATTTCTGAAAGAATGTGTTTCTGAGCTGGTTCCTTAGGAATTAAGTTTATAAACTCCTTTATAGTTTAAGAGCAAATAAAATGCAATTCTTATTTGGAAGCACAAATAAAGATTTATGCAAATAAACAGGAAGCATCCATCACAAACCGGTATCAAAAAAAATTTTAAAAAGCCTATACCTTCTTTCTCTCAAAGCCAAACCTTTTTTAATCAAATGTTTAGAAACATCAACACGCTCTCCTTTTTCATCTCTGCAGAAAATTTTCACAGGTAATGGCCATGTTGTATTGTTCTCCTGCAGTGATTTAAAAGCTCAGTAAGTATGACACACAAAAAATTTCTTATAAAGAATGTACTCTTCACAGGCATTTCTTCTACATTCCTTTAAGTAAGAAAAAAATTTCCAACTGAGTAAAGTTACTTTGTTACTAATACATTAGAAGGAAAGAATGACAATAGCACAGAAGAATCAAAGGGGAAAAATACCTGTTTTGTGAAATGTATCAGGAAGACCTTGATATCAGGGTAGTCTTACCAAAAAAACAACAAATGAAAAAAATTTCCATCCTGAATAGGGGGAAAAAGATGCCTACTACCAGTTAACAATTTTCTCTCTTCCCCTACAGTGTACATTATATAATCAAAATATACTTTTCAGGGTGTGCCTTTTTTCCTTTACAAAAAGCGAGAAATAACTGTTAAAACATATACTCTACTTCACATGGAAAAATTCATAAAGTGCCCACAGAAAAAGGTAATATGGAAAAATGAGTTATGAGAATTTAAATCATTAATTCAGTAAAATATATTTAAATTAGAAAAAAGAACTAAAAGCAAATATTTTTAAGTACTCTGAAGATATATGCCTCTTCTCAAATCTGTATTTATATATACAATTATTTACCAATATACAGCTAATTTCAAGTTCACTAGAATCCTAATTTTCCACATTAACAAAAGAATAGCAAAGCCTTCATAAATATACTCTTGCATACATATTGTATTTTTACATGCAAATCATCAAATTAAGTATATTACTGTGGAAAGTAATTTGTGGTATATCATCAAACAGGCATTACAGTTTGAAATGAGACGAACAAACTTTGCAACAAAATTCAAAGGGCTTATGTCATTTTTTTCAATGAGAAAATAAACTGAACTGATGAAAACATTAATGAAATAATATATACCTTATGTACCTGTTTACCTCACTACCCACCTGTAAGATTATGGTTGCTACGACTCCAGTGAGGTACAATGAAAGACAGTCACAAGCTGTTGCTGTCCATTTGTCACTCCCACCAGTTGGTCTAAAACAAACAATGACAACTTATTTTATAAAATAACAAACAGCATAGGATAAATACATAGGTACAAGAAATCTTATACATAAACATAGTTTGAGCCAATTAAATACATAAATTTGAATATGAACTCATGTTATCATCATAGTTTCCTTTTCCATTTTCACAGCCTTTTTTGTTCATCCTTCTACTTTGGGTGCATATTATACGCTAACTTATTTACATATATCTGTTCTGCACTACACTGAAGACCCCAAAGAGTAGGTATATTTAAGGAAATTATCATCATCATATGTCTTATATATGTCAACTAGACTATAAGCTACGAGAGAAGAAAGATGATGTACTTTCTCATCATTACATCCTCTAGTGTCTAGCACGGTCCTGGTACACAGAAGGCATTCCAGAAATATTTAATGGAAAAGAAAAAAAAGTGTCTTTGTGATGACTCTACTGCTCACTTTTGGGAGTTTTCTAGAATTCAAATTGAATTCAAGCAACTACCCATAAATATAAATCTCAACAGTTTATAAAAACCATTCATTCACTCATTCATTCTGGGTATTGTTCCGAAAGAGTTAAAGACATTACACTGATACATGCATAAGCATGTTTACAGCAGCACAACGCATAAGAGCTAAATCTCGGAAGTGGCTAATATGTCTATCAATAGGTGAACAGATAAAGAAATTGCAGTACTTATACACCATGGAATACCACTCTGCTATGAAGAGGGATAAATTTGAATTAGTTGTAGGAAAACAGGTGGAAAATGAAATAAATCACTCACACAAGCTTAAATATGTCAGTTTCTCTTCTATGAGAAACCCAAGATATAAGTAATCTAAAGAGCAAAATAAAAGAAATAATATGAAACAGGGAACTAGATCTTTCACAAATGTGAAGGGGATCTAGGGATGGAGGGAGGGCAGGGGGAGGGTATGAGAGGGGGCAGTAAAAAGAATTAAGGCATGTTATGTACATGTCCCAACTCTCCAAAATGAATGTAATCATTATTATACTGCAAATGTACTAATTAAAAAAAGAAGGGCCAGGGATTTAGCTCAGTGGCACTAGCCTGCCTCGCAAGGGCAAAGTTGAATTCGATCCCCAGTACCAAAAAAAAAAAAAAAAAGAAAAGAAAAAAGAAAAAATCTGGCTAATTCATCAAAAAGTTATCAGTTTTCAAACATATACAAAAACCATATAATACAATCTTTCATTCAGCTTTGACAATTTTCAGTACATGACCAATAAATAAAATTGCATCTGTATCCTCAAATATCTACTTCTAATTTTTGAAGCAAGATCCAGGTATCACATTGTGTGTATCAATTGCTTTCCCATTGCTGGGACAAAATATCTGGCACCCGTACATTAATCACTTAACAGTTTATCCCAAGTGGCACTCGGCCAGTGCATTAATATACTATCCGAGCATCACTTGGGCAGGTGTCATTTCAACGAGTTGATTCTTGTATTGAATAAATTGGATAAAATTGTCGTTTTTATACTTTGTTATCTTTTAAAACTTCATTAAAAATGCAATTTTTGGTCATTCTATATTTAAATAATTGGACTGGTAAGTGGTTAGAGGAGGATTTTTTTGTTGTTTTGTTTTTTTGGTACCAGAGATCGAACTGGGGACCTTGTGCTTTCGAGGCAGGTGCCAGAACCACCGAGCTAAATCCCTGGCCCAGGAGAGATTTAATTTAGCTCATGGTATCAGAAGATTCAGTATGTGGTTGGCAGGCTCCAAGTTAGAAACATCCTGGTGTAAAGGCAGGACAGAGTTAAGCTGCTTAGTTCATGAGGGCCATGAAGCAGAGCAGCGACACAATGCCAGGGAGGAATTGGTGAGGGTCCACATACAGTGTGCAAGACCACACTTCCATGACCCACTCTGGTACACCCAGGAGCATGTTTTACTAATCTGCTAGGTATTTCTTTTTTCATTTTTTTTTGTATCGGGGACCTTGTGCTTGCAAGTCAGGGGCTATGCCACTGAGCTAAATCCCTAGCCCTCTGCTAGGCTTCTAGGTGTTTCTTAATCTCATGAAGTTGATATGTAAGGATTAATGGTCACACAATTTCATTTATAAAGATTTTAGTTTGGATTTCCAAAAAGATCTTTTTTTTTTTTTTTTTGAGACAGGGTCTAAATTGCCCAGGCTGGCCTTGAATTCATAATCCTCTTGCTTTATCCTCCTCAGGGCTGGAATGACAGGCATGTGCGATCGCTTCCAGCCTAAAAGGTAAGTCTTTTAAAATAAACATAACCACAGTATCATCATTACAATTTTCAAAATTATTTATTCCTTAATATGAATTGTCTGAAGTTTGCCTTTTCCTGATGTTCTGAAAATAGTTTGTAGTACGAAAGAAAACAAATGCACAGATGATGGATTGCTGACACATTCCTTGAATCGACCTTTTATCTCACTTCCTACAATTTTTTGTTGAAAAAAATGAGTCATTTGTTCTGCAGTTTCCAAGGTTTGTTTGAATTTAGCAGACTATATTCCCATGGTGTAAAAAATGTTCCTCTGTCCTTTGCATTTTTCATAGTTAGGTTGATCCTATCCAGGTTTTCTTTTCTCAACTATTCAAAATAAGTACATCCATTAAGGGGTACACAAGGCCTGGTTCTCTCATGATATTTGCAGTTACTGACAGATCCTTTAGTTTATTCAGGATTTTAAATAATAGTATATTGATACTACTCCTTTGGGTTTCATTTGGAGTACTTAGAACAACTTTCTCTTACCAGTTATTTAACCCGAAATATATTTTGTACAGGAAAAGCAAAACAAATGTGTATTTCCCTTATTTTCCAGTATTCAGAACAAAAAGACAGTTCATTAGAACTCTCTGAAGGCAATCTTTGAGTTTTAATCATGATACAACTGCCATCCTACTGGTGCTCAAACTCTCCCATCTGTGGTTAGCTGAAGTTTATTCTGATGCGCTATTGAGTTGTTTTGTCATAATTCCAATAATTTTTCATAGCTTTCTTCTTTTTTGCTAATTGTAGTCTTATCTTTGGAAGAACCTCTAGGCTTGTATTATACATTTCCTTTCTAAGACCTGGGATCAGATATTTTCCTAAAAAGTACTAATTTTTTTTTTAAAGTGGAAAATGGCACCAGAGTAGCTCACTGATACTATGTCATTCATGCTATCAAGTTAAAACCTATGTTTTTTAAAAACAAAATATCAAGTCAGGTACATGTCTATAATCCCAGTACTTGGGAGGCTAAGGTAGGATGACTGTCACAAGTTTGAGACCCGCGTGGGTTATATAGTATGTAAAGACCTTGCTCAAAAAACCCCCCAAATCTGTATTTGTATTTCAAGAGATTGTACTGATTCTTCTAATTTAAAATTAGGATTACAGAGGAAATGAGCTTTAATTTTACATCTTTGTCATCAATTGTACCAGTTCTTAATGAGATGTACATAACACTTTTGACTTAGCCCACAATACACATATAATAGCTTTAGAATAACAACACTATAACCAACTTTGGAATTAATGACAACACTTGCTGATTTTCCTGGGGAAGGACAAGTAATTTTTATCCTTAGGATATAGCCCAGAAAGAACAAACAGCTGTTTTTTGTTTTCCAGTAGGAGGTATTGAACTCTAGGACTTGTACATGCTAAGAAAGCACTCTACCTCTGAGCTACGCCCCCCAAGCCCAACTTGCTGTTTTAAAATCTTTTGAAGAGAAACTTCAAGAGGGAATACCACCACTGTACGGAGTTGATTTAATTTTCCGTATATTTTTATTGACTTGTTTATATAAAATGTTAACATTGGGCCGGGGATTTAGCTCAGTGGTTCTGGCGCCTGCCTCACAACCACAAGGTCCCAAGTTCAATCTCCAATACCAAAAAAAAAAAGTTAACATCATTTTAAAGCTGAATCAATGTTTCTTTTCTATAATATCTTACTAGAAGTATTCTGTCTTAGGGACAAAATACCCAACACTCACAAGTTAAAGGAGGAAAGATTTATTTTTTAGCTCAGTTTGTAGAGGTTCCAGTCCATAGTTGGGTGCCTCCAAGGCAGAGCAGCATGGCAGAGGGGCATCACAGAGGAGAAACAGTTTGTGGCACAGCCAGGAGGAAGCAGCGAGCCTCCCTTCTTTTTCTTTTTCTTTCATCCAGGGCACATGCCTACTGGTTGGTGCCACTCACACTCAGGGTGGGTCTTCCCTCTTCAGTAAATCCATTATCCACATCCAGAACTGTGCTAAACCAATTAGTGGACTAATCCAATATCACAAACCCATGATCCAGTATGATACACCCTGATCCAGTCATTCCCTAAAGTCCCACCTGAGCTCACGAGGCTGAGGAGCCATGTAGACATAACCTGTAACATACGCTTACTCCTAGTTAATACTGTAGTAAGTCCCTGACTTATAAACATCCGATTTGCAAACTTTCACAGGTATAGTACAAGACTCATTTTATCGGACGTAAATGAATCCTACTTAAAAATGTTCTCTCGGAACAGAACTCATTCCTAAGTTGGGGACTTACTGTACTAAGATACACAGGAAGCTCATTCAATTTTTAATACTCATTCTCCAAACTCATTTTTGAAATTATGCCTTATCTGCTTTGTGTATTATATATTACCCTAATGATCAGATCAATTAATATTAATTTTATAGGTGAAATAAATGTAGTGTTAAGCATAAGCCCTGGGGTCAAAGTCTCTTGTGTCTTTTTGGTCACTTTGGCTATATACACATGTATAAACATATATATGTGTGTTTGCCACCTTAAGTATTTAAGACTCTTCTCCATTATGTTCTTGTAACTGAGCCTTAGGCCTGAGCCCTATGTTGGGGTGTCATGTGTAGCTGACCCACCGGCCCAGGCTTGTTCTAGGACAAAGGCCTATTTTTTTGTTCTTCCTCACTTGGGGGCTGAATGAGGATGAATAAGACATGGAGTCAGTTTAAGATGCCGGGGGGTCTTGCCTCTAAGTAGGCAGAGGAGCTCCTAGCCTCTGGCTCACCTTGCCTTTATTCACCCAACACAACCACAAGCAATTAAAGCAGCACAAGGTCCTCCTGCTTTCCCATATCCATTAGTACTTACTCCGGTAAACACCCTCACCTCGGATGTCCTAACTTTTCCCTAGACCCTGCAATTTGCCATCACCACTGAGCACAGCCTTTCTCCTTTGTGCTCACAGGGGAGGCCAATTAGGCCTCAATACTCCTCTGGTCTCTGACATCTCCTGGCATACATTTAGGCCATCAGTGATGACTGTTATTTACCTTCTCCCAGCCAATTATTTTACTAAACTATGTCTTTCAGGGTTAGCCACTCTCGATTGATTTTCCTAGATCAGCAGCATGCCTTTTCAATACAAAGGTTAAAACAAACTTTCATTCACTTTCTTGAACTGTCATTTCTTTTTCACTTAGCAATATGCATTCTAAATTGATCCATGTCTTTTCAAGCTTGGTAGCTCATTTCTTTACATTACCAAATACTATTTGATCGTATAAGGATGTATCACAGTTTATCCATTCACCTGTTGGAAGACATCTTGGGCGCTTCTAGTTTGGGGTAATAATGAACAAAGCTATATACATATTTGTGTGTAGGCGTTTGTGATGGTAGAACTTTTCAAACTAGTTGGTAATTAAACAGACTTGGCCAATCCTTTTTCTTTTTTGGTCCTTCCTTTATGTGCATTTCCAGTGGAGAGATGCTGCTAGTTCTACAGCATTTGGGTGGGGGGGTCAACAACGTAAGTCAACTTGCTCCATGTCCTTCCATCTGCCTGTGTGTGATTCAGCTCCCTCTGTTCACTAAGCCACCAGCCTTCCTGCCTGGAAAATGATATTGCATAATCCTCTGCCCGAGTCTCATTATTTTTGTGGGTTTTGTATATTTTCTTGTCCTTCACACTGTCATTTTAGAGGGGCTGGGGTAGGACTTAATGTCAGTGTTGAACCCATCAACCTCAATCAGAAGTAACCCCCTTTCTCAGAGGCTCAAGATTTAAGCTCCCTGGGGAGGAGGGACTGGTTAGTCCATTTTCTGTTGATGTAACAAGATGCCCGTGGCTGGGAATTTTAAAGAAAACAGGCTTCTTTAGCTCCCAGTTTGGGGGGCTGAAAGTTCAAGACTGGGCAACCCCATATGTTCAGCCTCCCATGAATGCCCCCGGCTGTGTTGCAACATGGAGGGAAGACAGAAAGGGAACTGGTCATGGGGAACACTGTAGAACCATGCGTTGGAATTATCTCACCACATAGCACTTGGGCTTCTGGCCCGTCAGGAGCAGGCAGAGAGGGCTCCAGCAGCCAGAGAAAGCCTAAAACAAAAGACCACAGTGCGATGAAAATAAAGCTTGGGAGGGGAGGAGGAGCCTGGAACCCTGGGACTTCAGCCTGGGGCAGAGTTCTGGAGGTCTCGTAGCTTCATCACTTTGTGTTGCTGCAGGCACCTCCTCACTGCATGTTCATGTGGGTTGTGGGTTGGAACATTCTGTTCCACGCATCTCTCCCACTGGGCCCATCCTGTCCTCTGGGGGATCCAGGATCCATCTCCTTCATCTGCCCAGAATCTGAGTCCTTCAGGGATTCTGCTGTCTTTAGACTTTTCTAGATCCAACTGACCACCTGAGGCCTGTCACCTCAGAGACAAGGATACAAGGGACCTTGTCATCTGCAGAGGGGTGCTGGGGAGGCATGGGCAGGAATTTAGGGGTTGGTGAAGCATCGTAAGAGTTTCTTCCTTGGAAGCACTGGCCAGTCTCCAGGGCAACCAGTGATGGCTGCTAGAAACACACAGCCCCCACTCACAGGGAGGAGACCCAGGTCCCTCATGGACATGTGTTTGGAGGATGGGACCTCCCCCACATAAACACTCTGCTGCCTCCCACCCTTCAGCTGCCCTGGGAGCTCAGAGTACCTGGGGGGAGCCACAAGCCCTGTAGCATAGACTGCTCCAAGCTGGCCACACATCTGCCCATGAAGTCTACCAGTCGGCCCTGACAACCACCACCAAAAAGGTCTGCAAAGAACAGGCAATACAGGATCATGGAAGGAGGCCCAGCTGAAGAAAGCTTCTTCTGGCAAATCTGCTCTGCTGGATTTCAGAGCCTCAGTTTCTCCTACCTGTCCCCTGGGTTTCTGTTGGCCTCTTGTCCTCAGCTGGATTAGACAGAGGTCTCCCAGAGTCTTCGATTTGCAGGGAAGGAGTAAAGTAACCCCACAGAGAGGACACAGAGGCAAGAGACCGGAATATATGAGTTCCTATTCTAGCTATTTTCTGATCTTCCCTGCCCCTCATCCTGGTGATCAAACTATCCTTAGGATGCAGGAGGAACAGCCCAGGCTCTCCTGATGTCCCAATGCTTGGATCCGAAGTGGACATTTGATGAGGGAGAATTAATCCAGAAGTCAAATAGATCCAGCATCTCCTCCCTGGTGAGTCTTGCCCTGCCTGTCATCAGGCACCATGGCTAGTAAACCTTCCCTTCCATTTGGGCTGTGTTGACAGGGCACTTCCTCCCTGCCCAGAGGTTGAGTGCGGCTAAAGATGGAGACTGTGGTCCCACACAGGGGCGACGGACAGTGGCTCCCTGCCAGGATCTCAGCGTTTCACTCAGGTGTTCTTTTTAAAATGGAGACATAATTCACACAGAGAAAATTCATCAGTTTGTAGAGGTCTCAGTCCATAATCGGCTGACTCCAAGGTAGGGATGAAAACAGGCATGGCAGAGCAGAAACAACGTGACGCGCACAAGGTAGCAAAGTGAACAAGGGAGCTGAATTGCCATTTTTAGTATTTGCCTTGTTCTATTCCATTTAGTTTTCTTCTTTGGGATGCCTACTACATTTATGGTGGGTCTTTGTTGTTTTTGTTCTATTCCAGATATTTTGTATTTTTGTATTTTCTTTTGTATTATATGGATTTTTTTCTAAATTTAAAAAAACTGTCCTTTTTTTCTCATAAAGCTTTCATTGTTTTCTTGCTTTTGTATTTTTTGTAGTTTAGTCTACAGTCCTAATATTTTTAATTTTTCCTGTGATGTCATGTCTTTTCAAAGTTTTCTTTAATAATCTTATTTTTGAGCTTTTAAATTCTGTGTTAGATTCTTTCAGAGCATCTATCATCTTCAAAATTTCTTTCAGGTCATTCTGAAATGCCAGATTATAGTTTCAATGTCTTGTCATGTCTTTCTGGTGTATTTTCATTACCTCTATGGATATTATACGGCTTCTTCCCTTTTTCCTCATAGTAGTTTGTATAGGACATAAATGAAATCCTTTCTTTTGCTGTTGTAAGTGAAAGAAAAGTTCTTATGCTTTTATGAGGAAAAAGTAGATCACAACTGCTCTTCTAGCTTCATATTTCTAGAATTCTCACTTTTTTCCCAAAGTGACAGAAAATACGGCCTTACATAGTAGAGTCTTTCCTCTTTGTTACTTTCTCATACTTCTATCTGGATCTTTTCTCTTATTTACACACCTGTCTTGCTCAAATTGAACTCCAATCCCAGCAGTTTTTCCTCAATGTGTGTGTGTGTGGGATCATAGAAAGAAGCTTCAGTTTACTCTGGAGAGGCTATATGGCTAAAAAAGAGGCTTCAGGACCATGCAACTATGACACATTATAGTACTGCAGTTAGTTTGCTATACAGAACTACATCCTGTATCACTCCATTCTCAGATTAGCCTGCATGCTCCAATGAAATACTGTGGCTGACTCCTATTTTCAGAGCCACCTGAACTCTGGTCAGCTCTCCACCCCTCCCTTCCACATAATGCTGATTATCATAAGGGTTCTGCTTGATAATGTGTCCCAACTGCTGATATTTAGAGGCACATGGGATCACTTCTTACCAACTTTTCTTGCAGATGTTGACTATGTAGTCTTTAATTTTACTATGCAAGCTGTAAATAATGGAATTCCAGGAGACTAAAAATTATGCCATGCCATTTTCCTAGAATCCCCTAGAATTCACTAACTGTTAATTTATATATTTTAGCTTTCCATGCCATTCTAAACTTATGAGATATATTTTATTTCTATCTGATTTTGTTCCTCAAAGCTTTTAATATTCAACCATTTAAGTTTTACCTAGATAACTTTCATATTCATTATCTGTATTTCCTTAATGCCACTAAATTTATGTGCTCCGAATATTTATCTTTATCTCTTCTTAAAACCCTGAATTAACCAGATTCATGAAAATTTCAGAACATGTTAGCAAAATTAAAACTGACAAGAACTCATCCAAAAATATTTAAAATCATAATATTCAATAAGGAGAAAATTAATTCACTGAGCTAAAAACTACCTTATATCAACAAGAGAGCATTCCAAAGATAATCTTCCCATTGTCTTCAGATCTTCTTCAAGTTTTCTTAGACATTTAACATTCACTACTAGTTCAACACCTACATCATAGAGCAAGACCTATGGAAACAATAATTTTAAGTCTATGGAAAGACAAAAATCCAAAAACTTTTTTTGCAACTTGAAAAGCATATTAGAAATTAAATAACCATAGGAGAAAAATTCAAAGTGAATTAATTCATTTCCCCGATACCATGTCAGCTGCATTTACCTCTACCAACGTGTCTGTGACCACTCTGACGATCTGGCCTCTTCGCCACTGATTTTTATCTGGGATCTTAACAGCACAGTGCATATCAGTTTCCCATTTAATAGGCTTCCATTCTGAGTTTTCATAAGCTGTTATCATCTTTTCTTCTAAACTATATAAGGATTAAAAAAGTTTAACTTTCTAAATCTTTTCTATTAGAACTCTTTAACCATGTCTTCTACTGTCCCCCTGTCATTCCACTCCAGGCAAACTGGACACCATGTTCCTTCTTGAATGTTCCAAGCATATATCCACTACAGGCCTGTGAAGTAGCACTGTACCCTAAGATGAACTTACCTATGGGGGTTATTCCCTCCCACCTCCTGAGGCCCATTTCAAATGTCACTGCCTCTGTGAGTTCTTTCTCTTAAAAGTACCTACCTTCCCAAATGCTGTATTTTTCTCAATCACCATCATCACCACATGCTAAGTTTTATATATAATTGTTTCCTTTACCCAAATTTAAGTTCCATGACAGCCAAGAGTTGTCTGTTAGCCTCAGCACCTAAACATAAGCTGTCATGGAGTAGGTACTCAGTAATTACTTTCTGAACAAATAAATTCTCATATCGTGAAAGTAACCAACAGAAACACTATTTTATACTTTTAAATAAACACTATTTAGTTGAAATAATTTTGTTACTTTCAAAATTCTATGTTTATGACTTCTAGATCTTTGGAACAAAGCACTTTATATGTTTTCCCTATATATTCATTATACCTCTTAACTAAGTTTTCAGTCAATAACCACTGAACATAAATCTTCTCAGGAGATATGACATTACAGATATGTACAGGCAGTTCCTTGTTATAAAGAGACTGGAAAATCTCACTAGGTAGAGATTTTACAGACACTGGACTTAAGTTGTTTACTTCATGTGAAATAATTTCTTCTGGAGAAGGATCCCATACTTCAACATGCTTTTTAGAATTATCTCTGGGGATGTATCTGAAAAATAAAAGCAAAAGGAATAATTAGCAAAACATCTGGGGGGATTAAAAATGGCAAAGTAGAGATGGCAGCAAAATGTAACCTCTTCAGGACCTGAAACTGAGACATTTCCAAAACAACTTGGTGAAAACAAGAACAAATCTCTGGGAAATCAGAAGGCAGCTGACAGGAAATCTAGAAACTGCAGACAAACTGGACAAAAGAAGCAGGTTGGAAAGCTAACACTGGCTCCTGGCAAGGGGAGTCCTGTCTCTGGTAACACAAGGTGAGCCTGGAGAGGGTCAGCAGCTCCAAGAAGAAATAATGGGCCAAGCCAGAAGTTCTAGCCTCCCAAAAAGCCCACAGCTAATGTAAACTACAAGCAGTATGGGGTTTTACTGTAAAAGTGACTCCTGCATGGCAGAACAGAGTTGGAGAAGAAGTCCGGTGTAGTGCCTAACATATCTGAGTGATTAATCAAGAGTCATTTTGGAAAAGGATTAACACTGAGCTAAAGAGCTACACTTCAGGTTTTCTGGGTCACTTCTACCACAGTGACTGGGTGTGAAACAGCTACAAGAGACAGCCAAGGAGAGGGAACAGGCTAGACACAGACCCCCCTTGAGTGCAAGCTCCATCTGTGACAGTCCAGGGTCCTGCCAGGTGAATTGAGAAATCAGGCTGGTCATATGTGGCTTTCAGGCCCACTGTCTACATCCAACACAGAGCTCAGTGGTCTGTTTACTTTCCCCATCTAGCTCAGTCTGGATGGCTGACACAGCTTGGGATGTATAGACATAGGGCTCTGGAGTGGGGAGGGGGCACCTCACAAACCCACATGTTGTAAAGCTAGGGAAGGAAAGCTCTAACTTGTGGCACACAGAGGGGCATGAAAACTGGGAGCAGATGGAATGACTTATAGCCCTATGGCAAACACCATGGACTGACCATGCCTAACAGGAAAGGTAGAGTAAGATTCAGTATTCACACACGAAAATGTGAATGTGGAAACAGACTAGGTCTTAGTAGTGACTCACCATCCCTCTGCCGTATCTGGTAGGTCCCAATTCCTCCCTCAGACCCTGGAAAGGTCATTCAAAAACATAGAGGATTTTTTTGACTCACTTTTTTTTTTAATATAGTAAACTTTAAAGAATTTATTTCAACTTCATTCATTTATATTTCTTGGAATGGAAATATATACATTATTCAGCAATAAACACTTAACGGTTTAAATTTACACTGTATTTGCTGAAACCTGAAATTCACTCCAATTAAATGAAGAAAAAGGGTACAAAAAATTCTTTCTTTTGCTCTTAATATTCAAAATATATTCAAAATAACTTTTAAAAAAAATTTTGGTTCCAGCGATCGAACTCGGGTCCCTGTGCTTGCGAGGCAGGTGGCAGAACCACTGAGCTAAATCCCCGGCCCAAAATAACATTTTTACACCAGCAAAAACCTTTAACCAAAAATCCACAACTACACTTCCCTAAGTGTAATAAGATGGCCACGTTTAATTATTTTGATTATTATGACTCACTTCTTTTATACCTCATTTTTTGGAGGGGTGGGGTGGGGTGACAGGTGGGAAGGTTTTATGTTGCTTTGTGTTTCTTTCTTTTGTTCTTTCTGTTACTTTTATCTATTAATTTCCTTTTACTCCTTAACAGGATCTTTACCTCCCTTCTCTCTTTCTCATCTTCCTTTATTTTTCAAATTTTATTTTTTCTTTTCTGCCTTCCTCAACACCTCGATCTTTAAATAGTATTATTAGTAAGCATTAATCATCTTTAGATATTTACTTGACTCTGCTATTATTGTTGAATTATTTTCTATTATTAATGGTGGTATACTTGTTGGATTTAGTAGGTATTTACTGTATGTCAATATCTGGTTTGTCTTTGTGACTATATTATAATTACAGACCTTTTTCCTATTGCTAAGAGTGGTACAGTGGTAACTTTTACTGGTTCTTAGGTCAATATCCAATTTGTCTTCTTTTTGCTTAAATTCTTTTATTGGTACATTTTAGGTATACAGTTTGTCTACATTTATCATTGGGTGCTTGTACCTGTATATGATGTATCTTGGTTCTTATTTTTTCCCCATTCCCTGTGCTCCCTTCACCCCTTCTACCCTTCCCTATTTTCAAAGACTTTGTTTCCATTTTTTCTCATAATTTTTCCTTTCCCTTCTTTCCTTTTTGTCTTTGATTTTATTATTGTTGATTTTGTTACTAACTGCCAGTGGCAGCATACTTGTTGCAATTAATTAGTTTTTACTGTATGTAGATATCTGGTTGGTGTCATCAACACTAGTGAGGATCATTTCCAGAGAACTCAATGCTGGCCAATTGCACTGGTCCCTTCACTTCCCAAATTAAAGAATGTGGTCAGATCTTGGGACAGAGGCAAAGGCCTAAAGCAGTGATGGTGAATCTTTTAGAGACAAGTGCCCAAACTGCAACCCCAAACCCACTCATTTATTGCAAAGTGCCAACACAGCAATTAAACCTGAATACTAAATTTTTACTTTAGAAAAATCTCCATTAATATCTTTTATCTTAAAAGAAAAACAACACGTGCCATAGGTTTGTCACCTCTGGCCTATAGATAGCCACACCCAGAATGCATCAATGGAAAGCAGACACTAAAGAGGCCTCCACACCAGCAACAAAGTCTTCCTACCCTAATAGGCCTTCAACCCTCAGCGTGTGCATGAGTGCACATACACGCACACGCGCGCGCACACACACACACACACATATACACAATAGAAACATGAGAAGACAAGGCAACAAAATGCCTTCCCAAACTCCCAAATCCACCAAAGCTCATCCATGGGGCATCGATGAGGCAGAAATGAAAAGCAAAATAGGTGAATAATGTATGATTAAAGAGGAGACAACAGATCAACAACGTGAACGCAAAGATGATATAACTAAACAGATAATGGACTTAAAAAAATAATCAGTGAGTTTAAAGATGCTATCAAAAGCTAGGTGAGCTGCATCCATTTTTCTACAAATGACTCAAGATTATCTTTAAATGATTCAAGTTTCTCCTTCCTTACAGCAGAGCAGCACTCCATTGTGCATACATACATTTTCTTTATCCACTCATCTGCTGATGGTCATATAGGCCACATATAGTCCAAGATTTAGTTATGATGAGCTGCGCTGCATGCATGGGTATTCATTTACCCTTGTAATATGCCTTTACCTCATTGGGAAGATATTCAGAAGGGGAATAGTTGAACAGGTTCCTATTTTTAGGTTTTTTTGGAGGATTCTCTATACAGTGGTCGTACTAGTTCACATTCTCACCAATAATGTAGGTTTTTTTTTTTCTTTTTTTTTTGGTTCCGGGGATCGAACTCGGGTTCTTGCACTTGCGCAGCAGGTGGCGAAACCACTGAGCTAAATCCCCGGCTCAGTAAGATGGAATTTTGATGTTGACTTACTTTGTATTTCTCTAATGCTCAGTGATATTGAACATTTTTTCATGTATTTTATTGGCCATTTGTACTTCTCCTGAGAACTGTCTATTCATTTCAGTTGCCCATTTTTTTTGACTGTATCTTAAAGGGGTCTTTTTTCATTTTTTATATATTCCAGGTATCAGTACTCCGAGAAGCTGGAAAAATGGTTTTCCTATTCTGTAAGTATCTCTTCATTCTGTAATTTCCTTTGCTGTGGAGAAGTTTAATTTGATACAATCTCATTTGTTGATTCTTGATGTTATTTCTTGTGCAACTGGGGCTCTGCTCAGAAGGTCCTTGCCCTGTCTATGACTTCCAGTTTTACCTATTTTGTCTTCCAGCAGATTTAAGTGTTGTTTTAATATTCAGATCTTTGATCTATTTTGGTTTTAATTTAGTGCATGGTGAGAGATATGGGTCTAGTTTTAATCTTCAGCATGCGGAAAGCCAGTTTTTCCGGCACTATTAAAGAAGCTTTCTTCTAGTGAAAATATTTGGCCCCTTTGTCAAATATAAGGTGGCTGAGTGTGTTTAGAGCTGCTTCTGCATCTTCTAAGCAGTTCCACTGACCTTGGATCTGTCCTCCCCTCTTCCCCCCATACCATGGTTTGTACTATCACTGTAGCTTTATAGTATAATTTTCAGTTAGGGATTTTTTTTTTGGTACCAAGGATTGAACTCAGGACCTTGTGATTGTGAGGCAGTCGATGGCACCACTGAGCTAAATCCCCGGCCCTCCAGTTAGGGATTTTGATGCTCCCTGCCTTGCCTTTGTTGCCTAGCACTGTTTTTGCTAGTCTAGGTCTCTTCTAGTTCCAAATCAATTTTAGGATTCTTTTCTCTAATTATTTGAGGTATGCTATTGGTATTTTGATCAGGACTGCCTTAAATCTGTATAACAATTTTGGAAGTATGGCCATTTTCACCATATTGGTTTTTCCTCCCCTAAAGCAAGAGATACTTTTCCATTTTCTGATATCCTCTTCAATCTCCTTTTTCAGAGTACTGTACTTTTCAATGTAAAAATCTTTTACTTCATTTGTTAGGTTGATTTCTAAGCATGTTTAACACCATTCAGAATCATCACTTTATGGAAAAAGGGATTAAAACCCTCTGCTAGCTTATTAGAATGAATTAGGGAGTATTCCTTCTCTTTCAATTTTATTATGAAATTTGAGAAATACTGGCATTCAATCTTCCCTAAAGCTCTTGTAGAATTCAGTGGTGATTCATCAAGCTCTGGGCTTTTCTTGGTACAATTTTTATTGTTTAAATTTCACTGCCTGTTACTAGAATGTTCCGTTTATCTTCTTGATCCGTGTTGATAATTCTTATATGTCTAGGAATCAATCCATTTCTTCTGGATTCTTCAATGTATTGGTTTTTGAAGCAGTTACTAATAATCTTCTGGGGTTTTGGGCTGCCTGTTGTGACTCACCTTTTTTTGGCGGGGGGGGGGGCGGTACTAGGCCTCAAACTTAGGATCTCGCACTTGCCAGACTGGTGCAGTGCCACTCAGCTAAATCCCTCCCCCT